GCCTACGATGTGATCTACTTAGATTTCCAGAAGGCCTTTGATGTTCCCGCTCTCGCCAGTGTGAGGAAGCAATAAAAAAGGCCAATAGGATGTTGGGTTTCATCTCTAGATGTGTGGAGTTCAAGTTAAGGCAGGTGATGCTAAGATTATATAATTCCTTGGTAAGACCCCACCTAGAATATTGTGTGCAGGTTTGGTCACCATACCTTAAGAAGGACATTGCTGCCTTAGAAAGGTGCAACGGAGGGCTACGAGAATGATTCCTGGTCTTAGAGGAATGTCTTATGAGGAGAGGTTAGCTGAGCTGAATCTATATATCTGTATATAAGATTCTAACGGGTCTGGATGCATTCAGCCAAATGGCTATTTCAATTTTTATTTAAATACTAGAACTTGTGGCCATAAGTGGAAATTAGTAGGGGAACATTTTAAAACGAATTTGAGGAAGCACTTCTTTACACAGCGTGTAGTTAGAGTATGGAATAGTCTTCCTGCTAGTGTAGCGGAAGCTAAAACCCCGGGTTCCTTTAAATCACAGCTAGATAAGATTTTAACAACTCTGAGCTATTAGTTAAGTTCTCCCCAAATGAGCTTGTTGGGCCAAATGGCCTCCTCTTGTTTGTAAATATCTTATGTTCTTATGTTCTAAGCTCTTTTGACCAGCAGGTGATGTTAGGGAGCATCGAGAAATGAACCACTCACCAAGAGTGACTGGAAAGTTTCAGTGCTTCATCTGGCCATCATTACCAATTATACAAAACTGTCTATTCTCAGCTGATCACCACGCAGCCATAAACCTCACATTATGATGATAAATAGCAAGTAGCAAGTTTGCATCAGCGTATGCAAAATGAGCTGTTCTATTAAGGGAGAACTACTTCCCCAGTAGATTGCGTGCTAATCACGGTGCTCTAAAACTAAGTCCATCTGTGTCTGACATCTCATGGAGACAGCTGAAATGTGTGTGTAGTGGTTTTAGGGCAGAAGCCTGAGACACCAAGTAGGATCCTCAGCTAAATTCAGGTTTTATCAGGAAAGAAACTGCAGTTAAACACTGCAGAGAGTATGTAAAATACATCAAATACTTCCTAGAACATGTATGTAATTATATAGTGGAATAGATACATAGATTATTAGCATTCACGGATGAATTGAAATCGATATAAACTCACCATTTCCATTCCTTTTTGCTTCTTCCTCTCCCTCATTTCTCTTCCTCCCTGCCTGGTCACATCTTCTCTTCTCCCTCCAGTGGAGGACATCTCCAAGATCCATGGGGTTTGGGGAGTCCACGAGATGCACGTTTGGGAGCTGATTCATGGCCGGAACGTGGCCACCCTCCACATCAAGTGTGCGGACATGTCCGCATTCCAGGTGTTTTCCCGGCAAGTCCGGAAGGTCTTCCACCAGGCCGGGGTACACAGCGTCACCATCCAGCCTGAGTTTGAGGAGGGGTGTGAGCAAAAGGCTCTCTGTAGCACCCCCTGCCTGTCAGCCACATGTCAGGAGCAGTCCTGCTGTCAAGCACCCCCCTCGCCCCTATCTTTTCAGAATGGCCACTTGCCTGTGCCTTCTGTGGAGGCATCTGAGGTTCCCCTCCAGGACATGATGTATGAGCTCCCCCCAGTGGCCAAAGAGACACACTACAGCACGAAATTATAAATATGTGCAGGGAAAACTGGAAAGTGTGTACAAAAAATGCATACCTCTTCATTTAAACTGCTGCATCGAAAGTGCCTCTTCCCCTTGCAGACTTGTTTTGAACCAAGGACCAATCACGGTTACTCTAAGTTCTCATACGTTCCACTCCTTGTCTCCAGGGCACAGACTGTCAAACCCAGTGAACAGCAGAATACCAAATTCAGAGCACCTGCCTGGAGGAACCGTTCAGTCAGTGGGCACCGAGTGCCCAAGCAAAGGGAATCTGAACGGCTCCTTGGCAAACCAAATCCCCTCTGCCACACCATTACTGTGCTGTTCATTCGAACGACCACATGCACTCGAACCAGGTGCATGCACTGCCGATTCCGATCACCCGCGTGCAACGATGATTCATGTTTTGTCTTTGTGGTGTGTGTAGTTAATAATCCTATCAAGCTAACTGATTTTAAAACATAAGACAGTGACGTTAGGGTGTCCTGGCTGTAAAGGTCACCCAAAGAAAGCAGATGTGCAGTGGTACTTCCTGGGCTGCCAAGCACATGCTGCTAAACAACAGCCAGGTGGACAGACGCCCCATTTAAAAAGAAGTGAAGTTTTGCCACAAGTGCTTGAAGTAGCTCAGTGACAGATCTGAGCTAATTAACTCCCCCCTGGACTGTATGCAGGGGAAAATACTCTTAATCAAATGTTACAATTGGTTTGCCACAAGACTTAAGCACTTTGATTTGAAATGAATAAAATACCTCTATGAAAACATCAGTCATTTGTCACTTTTGTTTCACCAATTGAGGGGGGGGGGCTGGTTTTATATTGGTAGTTGGCCTGATAATGCATGGAAGCCAGGAACTGAGATTTCATATAGATGTATGTAGACCGTAGGTACAAACACAACCACAAACACACACACACACACTATTATATACATACACATACACATTTTTCATACAACTTTTCTATTAAAGGGAACTCAAGATGGATTAGGGTCACTGAGGATGCTATATAGTATCATGCATCCAGCTTTGAGCTGCTCATCCAGTTCAGGGTGGCTGTGGGCCTGGAGCTTATACTAGGGAGCAGGGAGCAGCCTAAACGGGATACCTGCCAGTCCAGCTCATCGCAGGGCATGTGCATGGCTGTGTGCATGCGCACACACACACACACACACACACACACAAATGCACGTTCCCTCACTATGGACACCAGTTTGCATATCTTAAGACTGTGGATGGAAACTTGAGTACCTACCCAACATAAAAACATGCGACTCCACACACAGAACAGGACCAGTATTCCAAGCACCCACCCCGGATGTGTGAGGGGACCGTGTTACCCACGGTCTATCTGTATAATATGTTATATCAGTGTTCCTCGTCCCAGACCCTGGGGACCCCCAGATAATCCACATTTTTGCTTCCTCCCAGCTCCCACCACAACTGCTCCCGCTACTTGGTGTTCCTGACCACTTGAATGATTGGTGCGTTAAGAGGAAACAAAAATGAGGACTGTCTGGGCATCTCTGAGGACTGGATTGACAAACTATATTGAGCCATTTTTACAGTCCTAAATAATTTCAAGCAAAACACAGCATTAAGTTGAACACAAATTACAAAGAAACCATGCATCAGTTGTCAGTTGTCATGCATCAGTTTCTATAAGTGCTAAGCACAGTTTGTTCATAATGAACAGGACACACTGAGATAACTCAAGTTAAAAAGCCATCTGCATCTACATCTGGATGTATGGGGTGTGTGTGTGTGTGTGTGTGTGTGTGCTGTAACAGGGCACAGTGTGAGTGTGTGTGAACTCTAACCGGGGTCTCTGTGTGTGTTTGCTCTAAGTGGGCACTGTGTGTGTGTGTGTGTGTGTGTGCGTGTGTGCTCTAAGTGGGCGCTGTGTGTGTGCGCACTGTAACTGGGCACTGTGTGTGTTTGTGTGTGTCGGTCTGCATAGATCACATTTGATAAAATTGTCCCCAAAGTGTAGTAAAACACACACATACACACTGACACACATACACAATAAATTTATGTTGTGAATTATCCTAATAACCAGGGGCGGATTAACGCACAGGCTAGATATGGCTTAAGCCTAGGGGCCCCACGTGTGCCAGCCTGCAAGGGGGCCCCCATTGGCGCGGAGTGGGGCGGGCTTGGGGGGCCCACAGACTACTGTATAGCCTAGGGGCCTCTGTACACCTTAATCCGCCCCTGCTAATAACCGTGGGAAAATTATTTTTCTATTTTCTTGCTGTCATTTCCTGGCCGAATGTAAGTATTGCAATTACCAGAAAAGATCATTTTAATTTTAATCAGTACTCAATTTTGGCCACCAGACGGCAGCATAAAACGTGGAAAAAATATTTCCCGACGGTAAAATCAAATAATTTTTAAACAAAGAAGTATTTTCATGCTGTACAATGAGCTAATAAAACATACATTTAATTATTTTAATATATTTATTTTACATGGAACAAGTCTTTTTTTACTGCGATGGGCTGGCCCCCCATCCAGGGTTGTTTCCTGCCTCGTGCCCGTTGCTTCCGGGATAGGCTCCGGACCCCCCGCGACCCAGTAGGATAAGCGGGTTGGACAATGGATGGATGGATGGAAGTCTTTTTTTAATTACCATATAAAACAGCCATTATACCATGAATTTTTTTTTTTCAATTTTCTTGCTGTCATCTCGTGGTCAAGCTAAAGTTTTGCAATGAGAGAAAAAAATAATTAAAATGTTTTGAAATTAAAAGTTCATACAAATTCATAAGATGACAGGCAGACTACAGTCACTCAGACTCTGCACCCTCCATTACTGCTTTTCCGCTACAGGGTGTCGGGGAGCCTGTAACTGGGAACTGTGTATGTTTGCGCTGAAACTGGGAACTGTGTGTGTCTATGTGTGTGCGCTGTAACTGGGCACTGTAACCAGATGTCTGCAATTATACTCCTGTCCTCTAAGGGTCAGTATAATTTCCTAGAGGACTATAAGGAGCAAGAGCCTATATAAGGGCAAGGGCGGCCATGTTTGTTGAGGCTCAGAATAATGGACGTAAATTCTTGTTTGAGGAACGGGAAGTGTTCATGGCTCAGTGCAAGTTGTTATTCTGAATGATATGGATGTATTGTTTGTTTAATTTAGTAACAATTATTTGAATGATATACATGTGTGTTTGTTGGGTTTAGCAACAAGAGGGATGTATGATTTTTTTATTTTCAGAAAGGACTTTTTTTTCCCCCTGATTTACTTGCAACTGCCAACCTTCTTTTGCCTTCTTTTTTCTACCATTGTTTTGACCATCCTCACCTGGAAGAGGACGTTTGGTCTCCACTTTGGACTCTGCTATTCATTTCAGTTGTATGGTAATCCATCTCAACACCAGTTTTCTTGAGTTATTGTTAATTCATTATTTACATGTACATTTGCTGGGGTAATATGCTCAGCAGCCCTCAAGTAGAACATAAGAAAGAACATAAGAAATTTACAAATGAGAGGAGGCCATTCGGCCCATCAAGCTCGTTTGGGGAGAACTTAACTAATAGCTCAGAGTTGTTAAAATCTTATCTAGCTCTGATTTAAAGGAACCTGGGGTTTTAGCTTCCGCTACACTAGCAGGAAGACTATTCCATACTCTAACTACACGCTGTGTAAAGAAGTGCTTCCTCAAATTTGTTTTAAAATGTT